TTCGAAAACTGACAGAGCTCCCTCTATACAAATCAAACTGTAGACGGTGTGAAAGCACCTATTGTTTTAAATAATGGTCGGAATGTGACCTGTGAGCCTTCTGAATTACCGTGGGACAGCACATTCTAAACTAAAATGTTCAATCAATAAAGTAACATCTTATCTTATCTTAATAATATCTTCATATTAATAATAATAATAAATCATACAGTATGTGTCCGAAAGGGAGCAGGAGGAAGCAAACACAAAGATATACAAAGATATACTGCATATTAAAGCAAACGATTGTAAAGGTTAAAGTATGAGCATAACAAATAAAGAAGTGTAATGTAAACATTTACATTATAATTATGATTATTTAATATATAAAGACTATATATTATTGAATTACAAGATTAGATATACTTTAGTTGATCTAAAATATTGATGTGTTCAAATGCTCTTCAAAACACAACTGAAAGTCCATGAAACTTGTCTTTCTGTATTTGTGAATGAAGCGCCATCTCCTGGTTAAAACCTGAAATAGAAAATCTGGCAACGCCCTCTTGGAAAATAGTGGGAGGGCTTAACATTCCTCTATACTGGTCTGTGGCAGGTCGTAGGCAGGAAGCTGTAAGCTGGAGTCTGAAATTCAGTGCTACATCTGTAGTTGTCCATTTAGCAACTTGTTACCAACAGCCTTTTTTTAAACACATACAATTTGTAGATTTTTAACAACAGGCTTTTCACTGACGTGGTTTATGGTGTACACAAACATGAACATCTCTTCAGCTTGATGTTTTTAAGCCCAGTAACTGTATGTGTCGACAACAATTATGCTAAATGAAATGAAGAAGTTTAGTCATTCTTTCCCCAGCTTGTATGCCTATTAGTATGAAGAATCAATCAAAACATTATTGAAGGAGATATATTTAATTAAACACATTAATACACAGGAGGAGTCAATATAATAAAAACAACACGATTAAAAATAAAGTCAACATGTCTTTGGAGAGTGGGGTTGGAATCGCCAGAATTTGGATTCCTGACTCAGTAAATCCTGCAACCAGCTCTAGTTGCAAACTTGTCTCATACAGTTAACATTACATGTCAGCTTATATGCAACAGGGATCTGTTGTTCACTGTGAACCTTCAGTATGAACACAGGTCTAGTGTCAAAGTATTTGCCTCCCTTTATAAAAGTTGCTTATCTGGTTAATCGTCACATAAGATGAGTCGTGTGAGGGGTGAGATCGGGTTCAAGTTTAGCTAAGGGAAACTTGATCAAACAGGGAGTAGAATAAACTCAGAGGAAATTAAAGGTGTAGAAGTCGCTGAGAACCCGGAGGTTGTTGTGTTACATGCTGGATGTCAGTGATAACTTTTGATAAACTCCCTTTTTCAAAATCTTACATGATTTCTTTAGTCTTCCCTGGTAGACGTGAAGAGTGGCTAAAGTGACAAAGAGGCCATTGGAAAGTCCAGGAGAAGCTCTCAACGACCTTCTGTGCTGTTGATTTGTATCTTTACTATATTTCCAACAGTCACTGCTTCTTCAGTTAACTGATAAATAAGATACTTTCAGTTGGCTAGAACAACACTGTGTGAGGTAAACAGTGAAAGTGCTGAACATACAGATCAAGAGAAAAGTGGATTATGCAGCATGAGTCAACAAAAACCGCTGTCCCCAAAGAACAAGGTACAAACTGTTTACAGCCAACAATAAAAACACACAAAAGGAATTAGATACTTAAAAAAGAGGTACTGTTTTTCAATATGTTCTATTTGCCTGAATGATAACAAACCAAATCCAGGTAACATTTCCCCCAAATGTACTTTGTTAATGCAAAATGACGGTGTCCGACAGGTGCAAACGGAGATAGAAAACAAAAGTGCTCAAACACATTCAAATTAAGAAACATCTTCATCAACTAGACAACACATGCGCAGCGTTTCGTAAAAATTCACCAACTTTAGGTAACATGCACATTGTTTACTAAAATTGCTGCAAATACAAAACGCTGCAAGAAGCTCAAAACACAACCGAAACACTAAACAATGACGCACACTGCTGGGACCGGAGCACTTGTTGGTGTTCGGGGAATATAAAGTTGGCCAGTTGTCACTGGTGGAAATTTAGCTAAAATATACATTTTATTGACTTATATTGAAATGTGATCGCATGATTCCTTCTGATATTAATGCAGATATGCTAGCTAGCTAGCATTGCTAACATAGTCATTTCCAATGTACCGACAAAACTCAATTATGAAACAGACTAACTGTGCAAACAGAGACACTTTGCCAACTTCATAATCCTAGAGACCCCGTTTCCGTTGTGTTCTGAGCTTCTAGCAGCGTTTTGTATTTGCAGCGTTTCATCTACACTGCGTTTTTAGAAGCCTCATGGCAGTGCATGTTTCGTCAAGTTAGTGAAGATGTTTCTTCATATTCAAATGTATTTTTTCATATTTGCATTGTTTTTTAAGGAGACAGGCGTTTCTCCTAATGGGAGTGGTTTGGGCCTTTTTAGCTAATTGTTGGCTCCCGCACAAAATAATTAAATATGTATGTTAATAGAATAAAAGATTGGCACCATCGAGAACTATATCTTTACATTTCAAATGTTGCACTTTTTCCTCTATGCTAACGAATTAGCCAATGTTCTAAATCTCCAATTTTACATTGCACATTAGCCAATTTTCACTGTCAAACTAAACACTATTCCACTGACAGAACATTTCACTCATAGGCAGGATTTCAAGGTTATGATCCAAAGGAGAAAAGCAATCTGTGTCATGGCCGATTTCTGAGAAGAATATCCTTTAAACATGACTGTGACAGATGAAACAACAACATACCTCTCACAGGCATGGCTGTTCCAAGCCACAAGCTGGGGATTTGTGACTTGTGACTCTAAATGTAATGAAGCATTCAGCGAAGGTGAGGGTTGGGGTTAGCCTCAGGGAAAGTAGTCTACACAGGGCCCCCACAATAACAGCAAGACAAACGTGTATGTGTGTGAGTCCCCCTGCGGAGGACTTCCTCCCCTGACTCTGGCATCATGTTGACGCACAGCTGGGCTACTGTAACTGTGAGCTGCTGTAATGTGATGCGATTGGACCAGACATTAAGGTCAGGCTGTAAGAAAAACCTCATGAAAATAAAACCTCTTCATATAGCAGCGAAGGTCATTTCGGGGGCAATGGCCACAGATTTGACCTCATTATGATTGGCCGCGGTGTTTCTCTTTAATGCAGTGACAAAGCACCTCTGACTCTGCTGGTTAATCATTGCCTCGTCTGTATTTAATTATCCAAACACTCAAACTGAAGTCATTTTTCTGAGTTATAGTTTTTTTTATAAAGCTACTGCTGATGAAATGTGCAGGAGGGTGATTCTATAGTAAAGACTGTACTCAGGCAGATGGTCACTTCATAGGTTTGGGATCACAGCCTTTCAAATAAATAAGGGCACTTTATTCAAATCAATACCCCTTAAAAATCTATTAGGGACATTTCTGCCAGGGAAACAAAAACGATCTGAAGCAGCTTATTAAGAATGTGTTGTAAAGATTGTTTGCTGCTCTTTTTCTGCAGGAAATTTGGTTTTTGGCCATTTAAAAAAAGAGAGATATTTACTATTTTTCTACATTTAATTTATTATAGTATCCTTTATTTAGCCAGAAATGTCCCATTTAAATACACAATCTCTTCTTCCAGCAAATCAAAGGAACAAAATGTGTTGTGCACCGAGAGAAATGCTAGAAAGGTTCATGTTGTTTATGTTTGCTTTCTCTCTTTCCAGGCTTCTTGATTGTTTGCACCTGTCATCCACCCTGTGTCTCCTGTGTTCATCAGTGTCAGCCCCGCCCCTGATTGGTCCCACCTGTGTCTTGTCACCCTGTGCTTAAATTCCCCTGTCTCACAATGTTCTTTGTCAGTTCGTATTGTCTTATGGTATGGTATGGTCAGGTCGATGTTTCTTGTGCTCGTGAAAAGTTTAATTCCTCACTACGTGAGCGCTTTCATTTTTTGTTCACAATTTTTGTCATCTCGACTAGAGATTGATAGTTACCCTTTTTGTTGTTCACTGCTGTATTGGAAAATAAAGTATCTTACAAATACTTTACCTCTGTCTCCCGGGTCGTGCAATTGGGTCCTACATCCTAAGTGTCTGAGTTCATAACAAAATGCATTATCAGTTTTACATACTAGAACCATAGTCTTCATATGAGAAGTGGACTTGGTTATGAAGCCTAAAGTTTGGCATTTTGTGTTTTTCTTATTGTTTTTTTGGAACCAGAAGTGAAACTAAGTATAACTGAGCGCTGAACAAGAGCTTTGAATTAACCAGAATGTTATTAACTTTTATGAAACGAAAATCCACCCTCAGGGTTGAACGTTAACACTGCAGTAGGTTTCTATACAATCGGACTTATTTTTAAAACCAGTTGAGTGTGGAGCACTTTAACATTGGTTTTACTCTTCAGTTAATTGTTAGTTTTTCACCATAGATAAAGGTAAATGACGTCCTTAAGAGATTGCCACACTTAACTAATTGTGATAAACAGTTAAAGATCAAACTTCCCAACAGGATAATATCAAAAGTACTTCAATACATTTGGCTGCTTGTAAAACCTGTTTCTTCTGACAAAACGAGAGAAAGAAGCAGCCAGTAGACGGGGTTCCTTCAATAGTCAGCCTTAGGCCATCTGGAAATAAACGATGTATTCACCAGTCAGTCAGACTCCTTTCTGCATTCTTTGCGCACACTTAAGCAAAGTCTGTATATGAGCCCATTTGGAAGAATTATAAGCATCCAGATGTGTCCACTAAGAGCCATATATACCACATCCCGACATGCTGCACATACACAAGTAGTCAAGAGGTGCTTTCACACCGCAGTACTTTTCCCACAAAGGTTCATCAGAACTTAGTTCATGAGAACTCTTTAGTTCTCATGAACTAAGTACAGATTGCGTTCACACCGGAATAACTCCCTGAGGGAGGATCAGGCAAATGAAGCCGCTGACGTCACTTCTTCTTCTTCTGCTTTGGGTTTACTGGCAGCCCGCAAACCACTTCACGGCGTATACTGTCACCCGAAGTCCCCGGCCGGAAGTCCCCGGAGTTGGGGACTGGCTTCTAGAGATGGCAAATCCGGATCCTTTTATGGACTCGGTGTCTTATGAGTCAGTCATTGAAGAGATCCGGATCATACGAGTCATTTGAGTCAGCATCACCAAGACAGTAGAAATCCTACCGGTGAAACCGAAAAGTTGTTGCATTTCACGAGCATATTAANTGTTAATAAAATGACAGCAAACTATTTATTTATTTAATTTCATTCAAATGATACTCTCCATTTCTACTTGTGGGAAACGGAGACAAGATCATTGTTGTAGCATTTGAATGAAATTAAATAAATAAATAGTTTGCTGTCATTTTATTAACAATATGAGTACTCTCACTGCTTTTCATCTGTTCTGTCAACTTCAAAGATGATTTAAATAGAGCTATTTCGTTCCCTTCCGTTTATTTTAATGACAGAATTATGTTTTGTTCGCGTTCAATGGGCAAAAAAATGTGATTGCACCAGTTAATTGAGAGGGATCGTTATTCCATTTTGCACATAGATGTGAAAAGTGGATATATATATCATTGATAATTGGACGTGTGATGTCCACCTGTGTCATGGTGTGACTTGATGAAGGTTTATGAGGCACGCTGCTAACCTTTACAAATAAAAAGATACATGTGGAAATAGATGCAAGACACGGAAAAGGAAGGAGATGAAGTAGCTAATGTTGTTAGCATGAATGCTACTATATGTTGTGTTTTTATATCAACAGTGGAGCTAATGACTACATGTCTGTAAAAGATGTGTTACCTGAACCCAGACCCACAGGAAATCATCAAAAGACATTGCAGTTTCACCCAAATATATCACAAAACATGTTGTTTGTTTTTGTTGGATGGGGCTAAGTTGTGCAGATGCATTCTCTTGATCCAAGCTGTTATTAAGCTGTGATTTACAGTAACTTCATTGCTAACCTTCTCCTGCTCAGTCAAGTCAACGAGATAGTGTGAGGTACTAACCCATAGTCATTTTCAAGTTTCAAGGCTTTTATTGTCATATGTGCATACAGTGTAGTTATGACAATGAAAATCTGAGGTCACAGCCTCCTCCAACAGTGCAATACAATAAAACAGATACAATAGTACAAGTAAATCAAATAAAATAGAATATAATAGAAACAGTGCAATAGTCTATATACAGTAATTGGAATATTGATATATGAGTTGCAAACAGATGAATGTTATGGATGTTGTTTTAGTTTATTACGTACTGTAGATGGAGGTCGGCAGAAAACAGACGACACAGAAAGCAAATGACTGCTTTGTACGGGGGCAGCAGCCTCACATATTTTAGCCAGCTCAAAAAGGCTAAAAAAAATCAATAGAAGCTCAAGTGTACCGTATACTTATAATATTTTATACAGTTATACTCTGCCAAAAGACAGCTCACACTAACAGGGAACTGAGGTGTTTGTATCTCTGCTCAGCAAAGCCAACAGACTGCATTGACAGAAACAGTCATTCTACCTCGCAGCGAACAAGACTCTCTGTTCGACTGCTGGTTAGTTTGTGGGACCTTGGTGTTTCAAACACAAAAACAAACAACCTGAATATAAGCAGAGTAAAGGAAACTAAACACAGCTAGTGAACAGTTGAAAAGTGGCTGGGGAGTTTGTGTTCACTGAGGAGGATTAGTGATAGGGAGCAGGTGTTCCAGCTGGAGAATGGAACCAAACACCCACAGGATCACGAGTGGAAAGTAGGAATAACAGTGCCTGAAATGGCTAATGTAAAATATCAGAGGACAAACGGAGGAAGTGGATAGAGATGAGTCAGAGGAAACTGTGATGAGCAATCTGGGTTCCCATTACAACCCACTCATACATATAAACTCATTTTACTTACTGTAGAAAAACTCCACTTGAATGCAAGATTATCAAAAAAGTGACAGACATCGTGTCAATGATTTCACATGATTTTATGACTTGCAGTGATTAACCCTGTGTTTGTTGTTGTCTGCAGGACTTCCTCACTGACTTGATGATGTCGGAGGTGGATCGCTGCGGGGAGAACGAGCACCTCATCTTCAGAGAGAACACACTCGCGACCAAGGCCATCGAGGAATACCTGAAACTGGTGGGACAGAAGTACCTGCAGGACGCCCTGGGTGAGTGGAGCAGTGATCCGGAAGAGATGGGAGTCAGAAATAGTTTTAAAAGTGGAAAAAAGTGACTATGTGTTCGTAGTTTGGGGTTTCTTTTTTTTCAATTTGTATCTACCGGTACTTGACCTCTCAAAGGCATTCATTCACTCAAGAGTTTTCCTTTTAGTTTGTTTTGTCTGCTTTTAAAAGCTGCTGTTGGAATTCCAAACAGGATCAGCTTTGTAGAAATAATTGATTATTTTACCCCCAATTCTGCAGTGTTAGACAAGGTCAGATCAGGTGTGTCTGTCTGCAGTCGTAACAATAAGCACTCTGTATGCACTGTGTACTTTTCTCCCTCCCTCATTCAGAAATGTACACAGTGGCAGTTTAATCTTCGAACGGCACACATCCCTCCTGTCACCCCCTCCTCTAGTAATGTTAATACTCAACGTGTGTGTTTATGTCGGTCTATGTGTGTGTCTTTTGAACTATAGATGCATCACAGGGTTTATTCAGAGAAATATGAAAGGCTGGTCAATTATGCATTAGTGTCTACGGTGGTAGTTGTTATTGTTTAATGAGTGGCTGAACTATTGAAACCACTGAGTCATCCCAAGGACACGCATGGAGCCATTGTAGCAGTTATGGTTTGTCTTTTATCCCATAACACAAAGGACATTGTTATGTTTGCCACTATCTTTGTGAGGGTAACCTTGCTTGGCGTTAGGGCTGCACGATATATCGTGTCGTGACGATAATCGCGTTATGCGCATGCGCGATATTGATCGCAGGATGTAAATTCTTCTTTTTTTTTAGGACGTGCGATATTAAGTAGGCAAATGAACTCAAACACGTCATGTTACAATTATTTTGCTGCTTGCTATAAAAGGAAAACTTGCGTGGCTCTCATGTCAGGGGTACTTGAGTGAGTGACATGCAGGCCCTGCATGCACAGCAAACCACCAATCACAACCATTCTTGATCAGAACGCAGCAGGTTAACCGAGCTAGCTCAGTTTGTTGCTCTGATAACTTAAGATCCAGAAGTCCGTGACTAAAATCCTTCATCCGGTTAAATATTGTAAAAGAAATACCAATTGTATAGCAAAAAAGTTCATATAGTTCAAGAAAGGATGGTTTGCGGACAAAAAAAACTGTCTGTATTTTTTCAAATCGCAATATATATATCGCAGGGGAAGAAAATATCACAATGTCAGTTTTTTCCAATATCGTGCAGCCCTATTTGGCGTGCATGAATCTTCTAGCTCTGTCAGTCATCTGTTTTTGTTCGTTGTCACAGCAGGTCAAACTAAAATTATCTGTTTTAAAAAGAAGTTTTTTTGAGTTTATGGTTCAGCCTGCAAAAATCTCAAGGACAATGTAAAACTCTGTTCCCCGTAGCTTAGCCATCATATTTCCCTCTGTCCTCGCTCTGCTCTGTAGGACTTTGCAGCACTTAAATTCACCAACATAAGCAAATAATACAGTTTGCTGATCTAGACAGACTCATACGTTACTTATTTTCCTGTTCCCTGTGTGTTTGCTTTCAGGTGAGTTCATCAAGGCTCTGTATGAGTCAGATGAGAACTGTGAGGTGGATCCGTCCAGATGTTCCTCAGGCGACCTGCAGGAGCACCAGAGTAACCTGAAGATGTGCTGCGAGCTGGCCTTCTGCAAAATCATCAACTCATACTGGTGAGTACTGGAACACGGCATTAATAAACAGTGTCTCAATGGGTATACTTAAAATATCCACTCTTCCAAGTAATCATAGAAACACTTAATCCCAAAAGTGATCATTTGTTTATCAAAAATGTTGATTCCTATGCCTGCACAGTGAACAAATAAACAAAAAACTGAGAATATTCTTAATGTATTATAAATACATGAGGCGCCTTGTTTAACAAAAGGCAAAACTCTATCAAAACCTTTGTTTACAAACCTTTACAGAACTCTTTGACACAAATCATGTTCTTTCATTCATAAAAAACTGTCTCCTTTTTTTGAATCTTCATTATAATGTTGGCATGCAAGAAAATCTCAAATGATGGATAATTGATGGATTAAAAGGGATTGGATTCAAATCGAATGAAAAGGAAACGGTAGAAAGCCAAGGCGCTCTGAATAATGAGAACACAGATGTATAGAAAGTGATTGCAATCAAATCAGTCACAGCTTCATTCTTGTTGTTTGCATTCATCAAAGGAAAAAAGGCATAAGGAAGGTGACACATCAAATCAAATGCAAATAATATGCTAAAAGAAAACTGTTCTGAATTATACATATCGCTTTAGATTACGTGCTGATGTTCATAATTGGCTATTTTTTTAAAAGAATCATTCTCAGGAGGTGCTCTGTGTCTATACTGCAGTCTCCTAGCATCGATTCCTAACAGCTTTATGAGAGGTCTGCAGCTCTTTTAAATTCAAGAGCAATTGAAGTGAGACAAAACGTTATGAAATCATTTGTATTCTCACGTTGGGGAGCAGGAGTGAGAATGAATCACAGCTCCAGCCCATCTGTCCCTAAAGTATGGTTTGGGAATATAAAAAAGACCAAAAACATTTTCATGTGTACTTTATTTCACACTTTATTAATTATGTTCATGTGGCATGATGTTCATTCTCTGAAAAAAAACGCTCCTTTGTTCCTCTCCAGTGTATTTCCAAGGGAGCTGAAAGAGGTGTTTGCGTCGTGGCGTCAGGAGTGCAGCAACAGGGGTCGCCCGGACATCAGCGAGCGTCTCATCAGCGCCTCCTTGTTTCTGCGGTTCCTCTGTCCAGCTATCATGTCCCCCTCGCTGTTCAATCTGATGCAGGAGTATCCAGACGACCGCACAGCACGCACGCTCACACTCATCGCTAAAGTCACACAAAACCTGGCCAACTTCACCAAGTGAGTGTGGGGTATTTGGAGAAGAGAAATCCCAATACCAATCTTATTAGCAGAGGACTTTTGGAATTTGCTTCAAATAACTTTGTTTGCATTCTTCATTGTCCCCTTTCCTGTTCTTGTTCGCCTTCAGATTTGGCAACAAGGAAGAGTACATGTCCTTCATGAACCAGTTCCTGGAGCACGAGTGGACCAACATGCAGCGCTTCCTGCTGGAAATCTCAAACCCAGAGACCATCTCCAACACGGCGGGCTTCGAGGGGTACATCGACCTGGGCAGGGAGCTCTCCACCCTGCACTCCCTCCTCTCTGAGGTGGTGTTCCAGATGGACCAGGTACTGACTCAGCATCATCAGGAGTTTCTCTCACTCAGAATGTATTGTCAACTAGTGTCACCTCCTGATTTGTCCATCGATTTGGACGAGGAGAGTAAACCTGGCCCCTCTTTACTCTATATTGTGTGTACGGAAACAAAGCCAAAGTTTAGCTTGACATTATTTTTGCACTAATACGCACAATAATTAACTTTAAAACTTTTAATTTGGCGTCAATATGAACATGATGGAATAACTTCCAGTGCATTTAAATGTTGACAAGGTTGCTGACGTTAACAGGCCCGCCCCCCCCTACACGCAGACCACGCAGACTGCGGAGGGAGCATCATCTGAAGCGCAAATGTGGCGCACCTTTATGCGCTTATGCCCCCCACCCGCTCGCGACACGAGGGCCTCATCACATAACTTTGCGTGGGGCCACAAGTTGGCCAGGGGCGGCCCTGCGAGACTTGCAGCAAGAGTGATGGTAGCTAAAGCCTTGTTTATAGGTAGAGTACCAGCAGGCACAGGGCTGCTGTTGTTCAGCGTGTTGTAGGATTCCTTATTCTCTGAAATCCCAGACGGCCAACAAATAAAATGTTATGTAAGGAAGCAAGAAGTCAAATCTCATATCCAAAACGTATAAATACACTTTTATTGCTTTATACAATCCCTGTAAAGAAAGGAGTCAAGTGTTTGAAACAGAAAATGTATTATTGGGAAAGGTTGAAAAGTCCTGTATGGATTTTAAAACAGTGTGAGACTTTGAAGAAGAAAGCCTGAGACATGTTAATAGTGAATATTACTTCATTATTTGATTCTTTTTTTCCGAGAGACGTTTGTTATAGCCACCAGCGTGCTGTGCTGAACACATGCTTTAAAAAACAATTCAGATTGTTATGCAATCGCTTCTCTCGAAAAGAAATTGGGATATATAAATATTCTAAAGATTTCTTAAAGGATCGAAATCAGCTTTTCCGGAGGTCCAAAGGTCTTTAAATTATTATCACAAGCTTCAGGGTTTGAATCAGACTACATTAGGATGTTTATGGAATCGCATCAATCAATAATTCATTATTGCATTGCGTAAACAGTGAAGCCTGAGATGCTGGGTGAGGCTTATTAATGGATTTACAAGGACGTGTACATTAGCGCTGGTAGCAGATGGGAAGCTGGTAATAATTAGATAAAGGGCAGATTCTTTTTTTCAGTTTTTTTGTTAGAGCATTCTGCTCTCTTTCAATAATTCAGAAATCACAGCGTGTCTGGTTAAGTCCATCAGGCTGACCGGCCTTATTCATTATTCAGTATGTTGTCTGAATAAGAGAGTTGAATGCATGGCATAGGGGAAATAGCAAAGTCTAAAAAATATGCAAATATCGTCTTCAGCTAAAAAGCTCAGAAATGACATCCAGTTAACGTAATGAAGAGCTCCAGAGTGATGTTTCCTTTGCCTTGTGTCTCCCTCTTCACAGAGCGTAGCCTCCAAGCTGGGTCCTCTGCCCAGGATCCTGCGGGAGGTGAACTCGGCTCTATCCAACCCGTCCTGCGTCCAGATGACCCCCGGACCCTCCTCAGAGCTCTCAGGCTCGCCCCCCCCTGAGGCCGGCTGCAGCATCTCCACCGGCCTGCAGAAGATGGTCATAGACAACGAGCTTTCAGGGTAAGACAGGGAGGTAACACCTCCTCTAGAACACACACACATAAAGTTTGTAATCTGCATGAATGAACACATACATGCAGATTACACTTTTTTATGTTTAACTGAAAGATTCGAGGTTTCAAAGACTATTTGATAGAGTATATGTGCTGTTAAATCGAGCAGCACGTTAAAGGAAGCTAGCTAACGTTCCTGCAGCTGCTAGCATGGCTATCTAGCCATAGCTATGCAAAGCCTTAATATAGAACAATTAAAACATGTATACTATGCATTTCTGCTCCTTCTCTGCATATTTATATATTTAAGTCTTTGAGTGAAATAAATACAAATGACTCTTTGTACAAGCAGAACATATTCCTGAGAGCGCAGACATCAGTCAAAGCCCATGCTTCATCTCTCATTGTTGAGTGAAAATGTATTTGTTTATCCGCACTGTGATTCATATCCACTCCCAAATTGAATGTGTTCTTCATTTGCCAATTTAACACTGTTCCACCGAGTTTTATGAAAATCTAGCTAAAGCTTTTTTACATATTCCTGGAAAAAACCATACCTACTTGGCAGTAGTAAATATCACAGCCTTTTAAGCCAATCAACAAAGTCTTTAAACAGTCCTTATATTAGGAAACAAACAAATAAAAACATTTGGTGCCAACAATATAAACTTGCAACCCTTGTAACAGCTCATCCGTTTGTATAAAGGTCAGTTATCAATAAATCCAAGTGGGTATTAAAAACACGGAGGAGCTTTTGCCTGTGAAGGAGATGCTGTTCTCAAAGCAGTTCTGCTGAGTGTTAATGTTTGTCAGCCGTTGCCGTGACACAGCGTGAGTGTCACCCCTGCTTGTTTACATCAGCCAGATGAAACCTCTTTACTCTCCTGCGGGTGAATACACTGACTGACTGCACCTTATCTCCCTTATCTATGTCCTCTAACTCCCTGGCAGAACAATGGCAGGAGGCAAGGTGACACTTATAAAGATTAACATGAAGGCACAGGGGCCCACAGATGTATGAGTAACAGCCAGCAGACACAACACCAGAGCACCAGCAGAGATCATACTGCACATAACAGGTAGAAGATAATACAGCTGCTGTCATTATGGTAATCATAGGTCCACGATCTATAGAGCTAATTAAGAGATGTCCCTATAAGACCTGGTGTCAGAGCCTCTTTACTTTATCACAGTTACTGTTTGCTCATATATTGACTTGTCTGTGGTGTGGCGATATTCAAATGAGTTCACGATTCTCACATAATTGTTTCTCATTCAACAACCAGCGACACGCAAAGTAGGAGACAGTGCCAACATTGAGAGAGGGAAGACATTGAGCAGAATGAAGAGGTGAAAAGCAGTTATGAAGGGAGGGTAATGGAACGGATGGGAGAAGGACATAGAAAGGAGGAGATGAGCGGGATGTGACTCATTGAGATTATTGGAAGATAAATCACGGCTGTCAAGGTAATCGTCTCTTCTGGCGATAAAGCCTCCATCTGCTGGCTGAAGGGAAGGAAGAGAGGGAAGATGAAGGGACTCCAGGGGCCACACATTCTCAAAAACTAGCCTCAAGTCTATTTTCCACTGCAGCTACTTTCACAATAGCTTAGCATTTTTGCTACATTTTCAAACTACTGTTGCTAGACAACCTTAATTATGACCAGTAGCTTATTAATGCAGAATGCTAATTAATGAACACATTACTGAGTCAGTTCAATGACTTATATATATATATATATAACACATACTGACATACTTAAACACATATTTTCAAGGTGAAAACAATACCACTGTCTTCTGTTTCCAGTGAGATTGAAATATGCAATTACAGTGCATTCACAAACAGGAAATCACCAAATAATTCCTGTTTTTGTGGGTCCGCATTTCAAGGTTCACTTGTGGCTGAACTAAGTTGGCTGAGGTTTTAAAATGCACACCATATTAATTGTATGTTTTCGCTATGTCTCCTTCAGATTAGTAGACTTCACCCGGTTACCCTCCCCCACCCCGGAGAATAAGGACCTGTTCTTTGTGACACGGAGCTCAGGGATCCAGCCATCCCCAGCACGCAGCTCCAGCTACTCCGAGACCAATGAACCCGACCTGGGAATGGCCAACGGCAGCAAGAGCCTGTCCATGGTGGACCTCCAGGACCCCCGCAGTCTGGAGGGGGGGCCAGGTCCCAGCTCCTCGGAGGCCCTGAGTGAAGGTGTAAGCTCTTTGGGGGTGTGGTCCGCCAGAGCCCCACAAGGAAACATCCCGGGGGGTCCCACTCTGAGGAGGTCCGGCCAGACCCCCCCCACCCTGGCAACAGAGAGCACCCCCGGCCGACCCGCCCAGCTCCTAGCCCCCCTCTCCTTCCAGAACCCTGTGTACCAGATGGCGGCGTGCCTACCTGTGTCCCCCCGGGGGATGAACGACTCAGGGTCAGAGTGCCAAAGCTCTGTCAGTTCCCATAGCAACAACGAGGATGGGCCCGCGGGAGGGAAGCACTCTTTCTTGAATCACGGTGGAGGTGGGGGAGGGAGCAGCGGGGACGAGTACACCCGGCGCTCAGGGGAGTTTAACCGCCGACAGCTGTCCCTCACAGAGCAGCAGCACCAGCCCACCGTGCCCAGACAGAACAGCGCCGGCCCCCAGCGGAGGATAGACCAGCCCCCGCCTCAGAGCATCACTCGGGGCCGCACCCCCCCGAACCTCCTCACCAGTGGACCCTACCCCCGGCCCTCCTCTGGAAACTTGATGACCAACTCACCGGACTGGCCTGGCAGCGGAGCGCGGTTACGGCAGCAGTCCTCCTCCTCTAAAGGGGACAGTCCGGAGACCAAGCAGAGGGGGCCACACAAACAGGTACGCACTCAGAGTGTAGCGTACACATAGTCTATCAATTACCCAACCTGTGTTACCTTGTGTGAAGAAATCACTATTCATGTATAAAAAAAACTAAAATGATCGATGAGTTTAAGTAAATTAGGGGAGCAAAAACAGCAAAACTAAACCAAATATCTGTCGTAAAAACACTCTTTCTGGGTTAGGGTTTCTATTTTTTTTATGTATGTGCAATACCAGATTTACATGTACATGCCAACAAAAGAAAATCCCAATTTAGGATCAATTCAATAAATCTGAACTCATAATATTACCTCTTCCTAAACACAAATAATATTGATGATAAACTATACGCTTGTTCAGTTTGATTAAAAAGTCCCGTTGTGGTGAATTGCTTGGGAAGTGTTTGGGAAAAAGTGAGGTTGAGGATGGATAAATAACACTTGGATTTTTCTGCACAATTCTGTGAGTTTTTATTAACATATATTTTACTACAGTTGTTAAACGTGGCCCCCAATAACTTATATTCATCAGGATTTTCTTCTATTTTGTATTATTTATTCACTGTGGATGCATGTGAGAAAAACTAAGCTTCAAGGTCACACAGGGTGACTAACTAATACACAAATCATAATGTTGTGGTGGAAGTATTCTTCTGAATTCCAGTACAATATTTAAAGATCATTATTCAAGACAGCCAACTAGAGCTGCCTCAGGGGCTATGACACCGGAGTACTTTTCCCAGAAATAGTTCCGATAGTTCCTGGGATGTTGCGTTCACACCAAAAAGATCTTTTTTTTCGGGAACCTTTTCACCCCTTTTTAGGGACTTTCCTGGGGAGAAAAATGTTCCAATTTCTGATTGTCTGGGCGAATTGCAAACCACGCCCCGTAAAACTCTGAAACGTTTTTGTGAAGCCGCCATTTTATTTGCTATCATTAGCATTATTAGCATTAGTCCAGCACACCAACGGAGAGAGACTAACTTATGGCAACACAAAATAAAACATGGGATCGGTGGAGTGATGAGGAGGTGTCGGCGCTTCTGGCGATTTACCCGGGGCTTCGGGTGGCGATTTACTGCCACCCAAAGTCCCGGACTCTGGGGGGCTCCGGGACTTCGGGTGGCAGTATACGACGTGAAGTTGTTTGCGGCCTGCCAGTAAACACAAAGAAGAAGAAGTGACGTCATCTCTGGTGTCCTCACAGTGGGGGGGGGGGTTACATTGTTTAATGCATTCACCCGAAAGTCTATGTTCTATATTGTCAGGTCAGGACTATCAGCTGTAATTAAAACACTGCTCAATAGTTGCCCTTGGATAATGGCTCAAGGGAAGGGCATACAGTATTAACCATAATGCTTTGCTCTCCTCTCTGTGGGATACAGTATTGACTTATTTACTGATCGCACCAAATCCTAATTAAATGTGCATGTGAGGGGAAGTCATTTATTATGTATTGGTCAAAGCAGCAAAGGACCTTAAAGCCACTATGTGAGGATTTTTATGTGGTTTTTAATTTTTTTTTTGGATTGTAATGCTGGTTGCTCCATCGCTTTGGTCCAGAATGACATTTCTCCACAGCTTTGGGATGGATCGCCATATAATTGTACACGTTAATGATCCCCAAAGGATGGATCCAAACAGCTTTGTGATCAAGTGACCTTTTGCACCACTAAATCTTAAATTGTCTAGTAAAATATCTTGACATAGATTTTTTTTTACATTTTCTAAAGACCTTCATGGCTCCTAGATCAAAAATCAGAATCAGAAACAGGTTTATTGCCAGGTACAGTAGGTTCGCACATACTAGGAATTTGACTAGATGTCATGGTGCATGATTTTGGTGACCCTCTGACTTTTCCTTCTGTTCAACGATTGTGGTTTTTAGAGAAATATCTCTCACTGACTTATTGTACATACACTTTTATTTCCCTCAGGATGATCTGTAATTACTTTGGTGGTCTAACGATAGCATTGGGTTCATTTTTTTAATATGTATTTATCATCATTTTTTTAATATAACTATTTTTGATCCTACCACAGTAGAAATTCAGAAATATTTGAGTTCTGCATACTGGCTTTAAGTTGACTTTCCCACCCATTGAACGTACATGTGTTACATCTAAAAGATTCAAAGTTAAGTATGTGTTTAGAAAACAGTAACATTTTGATTCCAAATGAATTTAAATTCATATCTTGACTTTTCCCTACAGGTCTCGATTCAATAATTAGTCAGAATGAGTGTAATTGTAAAAACAATTATAATTAGTTTTAATCTGTAGGAGTATAAGTTTTATTTAACATTTCCAAAAAAAAAAGACTAGCCAATGAGGAAACGGCACCCATATTTTATTTTTTTATTACATATTGTCCGTTTGCAAATATTCGATTTCCAGCCTTTTAAAAAGCCCTCAATGCAAATGAGTGGGCTGAACTAAAAACATCCTACTTCTGCTCTCATGTTCTGCAACAGCCCACAGCTTTTCTTCTCATCTGTATATCAGCCAACTGGCAGATGGAAACACACACACACACACACACACACACACACACACACACACACACACACACACACACACACACACACACACACACACACACCTTAACTGCTAGTATCTGCCTCCAGGCTGATTTCAATTTCTCTAATTTAATCTTACAGTGTTTACCTTCTTTGCTGCTAGTACGATACTGTAGGCGTACACACTCACACTCACAGATCAGCGCTTGGAGGTGTGTGCTCCGGTGTGTGTGTGTGAGCTTGGAGACAGCGGTGTGTATCCATTCCACCTGCTGCTTTCAGTCCAGATGATTTGGTGCATTTCAAGCTTATTTCTGTTGTTTCTGTGCTGTTATTGCAACCTTCCCTTCCCCTCCCCTCCCCTCCCTGTCACTTGCACTCAGCTCATGTGTGTGTGTATGTGTGTGTGTGTGTCTGTGTGTGTTGTATTGTGTTCACTAGGCCCCCTCCCCAGTGATCCCCAGTGCGCTGGACCGCACAGCAGCCTGGCTTTTGAATATGAATGTGCAGTTTTTAGACCATGAGGGGATGGAGCCCGAGTCACTGAGAAACAGAGAGGATCTGACTCAGGTGGAGAAGGTAACCTACCTCCTCATCCGACCTTTGACCTTTTACCAACCCCTCCTTTCACAACCCACCTCAACCTTCCGCCCTGACGCTCCCACTCAACTCTCCTTCCTTCACCCCTCATTAGCTCCTGCATACACCTCCCTCCCTTTAAACAGCCCTTCCACACTTTAATTGTCTGCAGGATTTATCTCCACTCCTTTTCCTCTAAGCCCGAGGTCCTTCAGACGCACCCAAATTCACACTTATAGTCATGATATGCACATTTATTACATAAAATGGAGGTAAATAGCTTATATTGTGCGTCAGGCAGGCTCTGCATGAGCACACATAATACCTTAATCTACCATTTTTGAGAAAATGGTCTTTCTTAGTGCTGTACATGCTGTTTTTCTGTGATGCTTTTTTCAATACCTGTGCTTTTCACACAGCCGGCAGTGAGCCTCATTGTGTCAAGTGCAGGAAAGTCATAGCAACAGCAATAACGATAGAAAGTCACTTTTTCATTTACAAATCAAAGTATCAGTTACTTTGAATCGGGATTCAAATTCACTGGAATTGTACCATATGTTATTTACGTGACAAATAAGTGGTATGCTGATGGTCTGTAACAAGAAAGGATTTGTTATTTTCAGCCCTAGACTCAAAAGATCAATCAGGTTTAGGTTATTTTATTTGTAGATTTGTATTTCATTTACAAGACAAAGGATCCATTATAACAGACATGACTTTAAAAGCCCACTTGTACAAACATGAAACAATCAAGTCAATAAATGGGCGGTGCTTCCAGAGCAGCCGCGTGACACCGCTACAACTTGATAATCCATAATTAAAATATTTGCAGCTGTTGACCAAGAAATAAACTAACCATTGTGTTTGCACGGCTAAATATACCCTACTTATATTGTCAAAATCCACGAATAACTCCTCGAAATACTGTGTGCAGTGAGGGGGTGCTGGATGTTGTAGTTTTAACCTTCTTCCTTCATTAAAAAAGGTCCCTCCGCCCGCCTTTGAATAACTCACAATTTTCCCCCGTCTCTCTTACCATCTTTGGAATGAAGCCGTGTGTGTGTGTGTGTGTGTGTGTGTGNCTCGGGAGCTGCCCCCCCGCCGGGGCACTGGAAGGGTCTGACGGACCTCGCGCGGGTTCAGCGGGAGTCTCGGAGGAGGGAGCGGAGGACCGAGGCGCAGGGGAGCTGGAGGCCTCGAGGCAGCGAGGCGGGCTGCTTCCATCAAAAATGAAGAAATCCTGAAGGGCAAGGGGAACCAGCTGGAAGAGCTACGAGCGCTCTCTGGTTGAGGGATCCTCAAAGTATCATTTAGGTTTTTTTGCCTCTTACGTCTCTGCCGTAGGCATACATGGTCGCTCATGTCATTTTCAAACTTTTAGATTGTCAGCGTTTGTTGTGTTGCCAAACTTGTCGATTATAGTTTCGCAAAATCTTCCATTTTGGTCATATTTCACAGTTATGTTTGCCGCTGATCATGAGGCAAATACGCGACACTGCTTAAATCGATGTGTGGAAAAAGTCTGGTTTGGATTTTTGATGTCAACTTTTTAAACGTCAGAGTTGGGGTGTTTTGAAAACAAACTGATCTGTTGGAAAGTCAGGACGAAAAAATTTTTTGACGATAAATCCTACAAACCTGTGGCATAGGTTTTCGCCAAGTGGGCTTGTACTCTGACTAGGAGATACCAGGTCTTGACGCTACAATGTGTGTTTCGAGTCACTGTGTTAAACTCTTCGGATTTTAAAAGGCGCTCAACCGGACTTTTCGTTGGTTCCGATGTTCTGGGATTTTGCTTCACAACAAAGGACTTGTTCATGAGAACTGTTCCCCCCCTGTTCAGTCCCTCGCTAGAGAGGTGGTACTTTCCTGGGGAGAAAAATGTTCCAATTTCTGATTGGCTGGGCGAATTGCAAACCACGCCCCGTAAAACTCTGAAAGGTTTTGTGAAGCCGCCATTGTATTAGCATTATTAGCATTATTAGCATTAGCCCAGCGCACCAACGCAGAGAGACTAACTTATGGCAACAAAAAAGAAAACATGGGAGCGGTGGAGATGAGGAGGTGTCGGCGTTCTGGCGATTTGCTCGGGAGTCCCAGCAGCTTCTACTGGGGGAACTAAGTGCTGGGGACTGAGTGCTGGGAACTAAGTACGGCAAAGTACTTGGTGTGAAAGCGGCTAAGGACTCACCTGCTTCTCTGATTCTCTCCTGACCTTCTTGTCTCTTTCTTCTTCTTCCAGCCTCTCTGTGTGAGAGCTCCACAGACTGAAGGCTGAACCAAAACACTTCAGAAGTCCACAAGGAGTGACTTTAACAAAGCCACCTGAAAATACATTTGCACTCAATCAACTGTATTTGCAGATAAGAAACCGTTTGTATTTGAATAAAAAAAAGAAACTAACCCTCTAAAACTTTGTGATTTTATTCCATGAACTTCCCACTTTTCCCATCACCTTTTATTTGACTAGCAGAAGTACTTCTTTGCAACTTTTTCTCCATATTTTTTAAGCTGTTCTATGCATCAAAAGTCATTCATTGTGATGCAGCTATCTGTAAAACCTTCAGTAATTCAGTATTCAGGCTTTCAGTATTCAGGGTTTCATTTCTACACTGAGCTTCAGTTGGTTTTGCAAAAAATTAAAATCAATGTTTATATGGCGTAATTTAAATTAAATACACTGTTTTAATTAGGGCTGTTTAATTCTGAAAAGTCAGTAAAATATCGTCTCCTCCGGTTAGCATTAACATTCGGCTAATATTACGTTTTTTAAGAAAAAGTGAATTTAAGGAGAAATGACACGTGACGTTGCACACTAAACACACTGTCTTTAACCCTCACTTATTGACACTGCAATACTTTTATTAGGGAATGTTTAAATAACCACAGACATTAGAATATTGTAAATGTAATCAGAAAACGCCAGGATGTTTCTTGGACCCGCCCCCATCTAGACCGGCCAATGGGAGAAGACTACAGTTGATAACAGGGGAATCAAGCCGAGAATCGATCTGTCTTCCGCCCAGCACCCCACGCCAACGGGTATCAGCTGACCTGAGGGGGAGGAGCCACGCCACTCACATATTTTCATTTGAATATCATCGCATTATTTGTTTAATTAAACGCTGTTAACTTGTATAAGCTTCCTTGGACTCGTTTCAGCTAATCCTGCTCTCAGGTTTAAATCACCGTTAACAGTTTCAAGATATTTCCTCCAAAACACAAGAATCTACCAACTCTTCCACATTGGGAAAACACCAAATGATATGCAGTGTTTGCAGTACATGTACTCAAATGAAGAGGTAAGTAAGTATGTAGGCTACCGTCATTATAGCCTTTCTGGACAACAGTTAAAACATGGCTTGGCTGATTTGGACCGTTTTGTGGTGCTCTTGGGGGATATTGAGGAAACTGAATCAATTTCTGACATTTTCAGGATCAACAATGGCAGTTTTAACCAGAAAATGCCAATATCTGTACTCTCTGGGCTGATTTTGATCTGGGTCGATTTGGAAGCTTTAGGGGACCCTGGATCATTTGGATTGGACCGATTGTTTATTTATTTGAAAAAGAAATGTCCACGGTAGAGATAATAATGTTCATCTTGTGCTCTCTATATCATGGTATGTGAAAATCAGCCGACAGAGAGTACATTATGTCCACTTTCTGCTTAAAACTGCTATTCTGTATACTGGAAAGGTCAGAAATGGATTCAGCATCCTCATCAGCAGGGGCGGATCTACCGGGGTGGCTGGATGCCTGTTTGTAAATCTCGTTTAAAAACCCACTTCTTTTCCCTGGCATTTACGGACCAGGTGACACTTGTGCTTTTACATTTGGGTTTTTATCTTCCTAGTGTTTTGTATTGTTTGTACGTCATGTAGGAGAGTTTCTCCGTCTGTGGCTCCTGATCTGGTTTCAGTGTCTCGTGTTTTACATTTGTTTCATGTCCTGTCTGTTCTTTATGTATTTATTCTATGTTTTTATACAGTTGTTGATGTACGGCACTTTGTTCAACTCTGTTGTTTTTTAAATGTGCTATAGAAATAAAGTGGATTGGATTGGATAATGATCAACGACAATTATCGGGAAATAGAAAATAAAACTGATGATATAACAAAAATACTTTATTAATATCAGTTTGACGACCAATTGACAAACATGAGGATGTTAAAAAGTGGTAAAGTGTTGAAAATAAAACTAATAAAAGTCATAATAAACAACATTTAAGTGAAAATACAGTGAATTCAAAATTATGATTAAAAGAATTATTAAATCTAAATAATAGAAATAAAGGAAGTAAAGTAAAAATAACGATAAAATGATGACCAATTATCACATTTAAAACAATGATATAGCACCTGTTAGAGCTCCTCTGATACACTTCAAAGGGTTTGACAAGCAATTGATACAAATGTGAAAATAAAATAGATTAAAACAATAAAAAAAGTCATTCAAAAATCAAATGAAATGGAAAATAAAGATGATAGAGTTATAAAGTATAATAACCAGACCGCAATGATGTATTTTATTTAAAATCAGATTACGTGCAGACCCTCACAGATCCTCTGTCAGAAAGCAACACGGCCAAAACACTTCACTTAGTCTCTTTGGATCAGGGGTTGCCAACACGGTGCCCGCAGGCACTTAGTCTCTTTGGATCACTTGCTGTCTCCTCTGGGTTCTGGTTCTGGTTCGGGGGTGTAGAACTGGAACGTGACGCAAACAAGGACCCCGGTGAGGGCGGTGCTTAGAGGGATCTTTAGGGTGGGGGCTGCTGTGGACAAAGGGTGAGGAAACTCTGGATGGGGGGAGGGGGAGGCGTCCACATGTGGAAGGACGTTCAGGAGGTCAGCAGCGCTCTGAGAAACGTCCACAAACAGAGCTATGTTTGCTGGGTCTTCAGGGAGGAGAGGGAGGGGGTCTGTGGAGGTCTGAGGGTCCTCTGAGAGGAGAGAGGGGAAGGAGATGAGGAAGGGAGTTGAGGAAAGAGTGAGGTTCCTGCATCCACCGTTTAGGATGGGGGTGTCTCTGTGATGGGGTCCTGAGGGGGACACAGCTGGGGGTTCTCCTCGGAGGAACTCACCTTCGATTCTCTAATGGAATTCTTGAGGTTCTTCTTCTTCCATGAGACACATTGTTTGGAGGGTAAAAAGAAAAGATTAAAAGAGATTCAACCACAATCTTTGGTGTTGGTGTCAGTTAAAGAGGACGTGTATAGTTTCAGGTTCCATATTTAGTGTGAATGCACAGTATAAGGAGTTTTTTCTAAAAGAGCCCCCCCACACACCACACACACACACAACCACACATACTTACTCACTACTCACACACTACTACTCACACACTATCTCGCACTCAACATGCACAAACCATACTTTGCCTATTTTGACATCTCTGATCGGGAGATTCTAAATGTAAATGGGGGTCAGCTTTGCTAGTTTATCGCGGATCTGTTAGATGCCTATACCAATTTATACATGTATGGAAGAATCCAAGTTATTTAATTATATACTTCTCCCTTTCAGATTTTGTAAATATTTTCTGTTTTACCATACTATTATTATTACAACTATAAAGCTTTCTTATTTCACATCATGAAGATGTGATTTGTGTTTAAGAATTAACAGTATGGCTCTGATGTATGGGTCTCAGTCGTCTGATGTCGCGGCTCCTCCTCCTGATTTTATGAATCATGTTTATTTAAAGTACATTTCATTGATAGTTTCTGATGAGCACCTTCCTCTTCTTGTCTCTCAGGACACTTCAGCCAGCTGAATTCAACTATCTCTTATTTCACTGGTTCCTCCTCCTTCAGATCCACACTGAGCGAGGAGTGTGGTGAATAATCCAACACTTGTGTTTTTTTTTATTGTGTATTACTAAGTACACGAGCTGATTAGCTCATCATTCACTGCACATTCTTAAATTCAGCTTTTCATTGATAACCTGTCATCACTCGTATTCAGCTCTCAGGAATTGTGAAACTCACATTCACTCAAGCTTTCCTCACTTGAGAGGTGAAATGGCGCAGAAAGGCAGTTTCAGCTGGACGGGAAATGTAATTATCTTGTTTCCCATCTGTCTGAGATTACTACTTGAAGGATCCTTTTAGTTGACGGTATCTATCTGTGGACTATCTAGTACTGCATGAAGTGTAATTATTAAAGGCTTCTGGATGGAGAGGATGATCGAAATTTGTATTTCCACCTAAGCTTGCCTTCTCTAGTGCAGCAGAGCTTTTCTAACACCGGCCTTGTCCTGATTCCTTATACATCAATGTTATACAGCTTTAGTGAGAGGAGCTGTAATAGTAAGACTGGATCTCCCCTATTTCATTCTTGCTACCTGTTCTGATTCATCTGTCTATATGTCTGTGAGTTTCTGTTTTTGTTTTACTTTTTTTATATCAAGTATTCGTTACATCTTCTCGTTCTCTATTGTCTCCTCAGTCTCTTCCAGTTTATTTGTAGTAGGAGTGATACTCTGGATCACAGTCAGTAGAGTTATTCATGTCACTTCTTACATCTTGGTTTCTGAAACCATAGATCTCTCTTCTCCACAGTATATTATTTTGTTAATATAGGTATTATTTGGAATGGTACTGTTACTCCTTTTTATATATGCGCTTTATCCTTTAGTCTTTAAGACACCACTTCATATTTTAGCGTTCTTCTACCTTATTATTTATTTTACTATGCATTTCTACTCCATTCACACCCATTTCAAACTATGTGAGTAGTGTACTCTTTACTCTTGTTGACCTTTTTTTATAACTATTTCATCTTCACACCATTTCACACACTCGTTGGCTCTATGCCATCGGATGCATACATACAGGTTGTTATAGTTTATTCTATTTTTCTCTTTATAGTTTATTACAATCGGTATCAAGTTGATTATCGCTATGGGCTTGGTTTTATTTTCTTTTATTTTTTTTAATTTTTTATATTATAATTAAAGATCGAACACCACAACCTTCTTTGGTCTGAAAGCTGATCCACACTCCCTCAGCCACACTCACAGATGTGTCACCACCACATTTTTCTTCACTCACGCATTACATGCTTGGTATACTTATCATGATATATTTATAGAGACTATCTTCAATTGAGTTTTGATAGATAACTCAAAATGTTCCTGAAATCATTTGGTAGTTGTATATATATCTATTTACCTTCTTAAATACTCATTCCTGTGTTTTAATGTCATAAGCTGTATTTGTTACAACATAATTCTTATTTGTTATTTTGTTCTTTCATTTACTCTATGCATGTAGATTTTAAGCTGTCAATCCATTACTTTAATTTGTGATGTGCTTTAATCATCGTTTCCCATTATTGAGATTTTCTGTATTTCTGTATGCAATGTTGATACTATCATATCTTCGGACTCCTTTTCTCATGT